TGGGGAAACGTTGCAGCCCCTTGTAGAGGTGCCGGTGTCGGGCACGTCCCACCGCCGTGGCATATGGCACATGAAACATTCACAAAGCTGGGAAATCAATTATTCATCCCAATGAAAGACAAAACACCTTACTAATTGTCCTGGAAGGAAAGAGCTGGGGAAGGGGTGGGAGATGGGGCAGGCATCATTCATGACAGGAAACAAAGTGAAGAGAAGAAAAGAAGTCCTGTCTGGTGGGATCAAAGCATTGCTCAGCTTTTGGACCCCGGGGTTGTCTCTTTACTACAGGACAACACTCCTTGCAATGGTTGAGGTTCCAGTGGGATAACCACATCGGGATGCTGCCCTTGTACTCTGATTTAGTGCTTCTTCTCCAAGCCTCATATCCACTCCCCCAAGCTTCCTTGCCTAGAATTGCACTATATTCCCTTGGTTAGGAAAACACAGGTGTGGGTGCTGGGGGAAGAGCCTGTTCCTAGCCCAGGTGTGGCAAGTTTGTGCTCTCACACATGCTTGATATGCAAGGCATACTGCTGGGGGCCAGCACCCCAAACCATGAGGGGATGCAGCATATGAATATTCCCAGACAGATCTGCTGCCAGCCCCTGTTCCCCCTCCAATTCTGGAACTCCAAGATCAAGAAGACCACCTGAACACACAGAATTTGCACAAAATACTAGGAGGCAAAGCATCCCTGCTTCTGCCATGGAGGAGGATCAGGAGGAAGTGTGAAAAGGAACTTTCCAGGACAGTCATCCCAAAATCCAGTCAGCACCACAAGGAGCAAAAATGCCCTCCTCATCCCTGGGCTCACATTGCAGCCCTGCAGCGTGGCAGGAAGCAACCTCCTCGGAAAGAAACGCTCTGCCCTGCTTCACACCAGCCACATCAGGAAATCAGGGCACAGGTATGTGCAGGATTTCCCTGGGAGGTCAGAGGGAGGGGCCTGGCTCACGGCTGCCACTTGGCTTTGCAGGGAGAGGACATTGGTCTTCGGGACAGGACTTGGAAGAGCCAAGCTTTCCTCCTCCAGCACAGGCTGGTGCCCATCCGGTTGGCTCTGGGCTTGCTAAGGGCATGGCAAGCACCGCCAGTAATCTTTCAGTCCTGCCTTTCCTTGGCCACGCTCCACCCCACAAAATCCTTTAATGGAAACCACCGTGCCCAAGGGCTTCACAAAAGGCACCCAGGTGCAGCAGCTGTTATTAAACCCTCTGAAAAACCCTGACACCAGCTCTTCCTTTTAGTGACCCCAGTGTATTTATTCTGGTTTTACAGCAGCTGCTTCCCCGGCTCCCGAGCAGCACAACTTCACAAGGGCCCTTTGATTCCCATTTTGCTTTTTTTCCCCATTGTTAGCAGTGTTCCCCCACTCCTTCACCACTCACATGTTATTGTATTACTGCTATAAAAAAAGCCAATGGTGTGATGATGCTCAGGCACTGGAGTGTGTGAAGCACACACCCACCTGGATATTTGCAGAGGGAGTTTAACCCTTCTTATTCCACGAGCACCTTCAAATACAGTGTAGCACAAAGCAGGCAACTGCAGGGTCCTTGTTCTCTCTTCCTAATGGCACCCAGGGAGCAGGGAGCTAATGCTCCAGTTCCTGATGGCTGAAGCTCCTTCAACCTCACCCTCTCAGGACCACCAATTAAGAGGTCACCAACCTCCCACTGCCCTTTCCGACCCATTTTCTCCTTTTTTGGTCCTGGTCACACTGTGTTAAGCAGGTCACAAGTCCAGCTTCAGCAGCTGGCCAGCTCTGGTCCATGCACAAAGGTGAGCATCCCCAGTCCCCAGGGGAAACGCAGATGTTCCCCACCCTGGCTCTGCCTCAGAACGAGTAAAGGTATTTTATGCACGCTTTCAGATAAAATTATTTTTAGCTGGGGGAGAACAGGCTGTTTTTTCAGGCAGCAATGAAGATTTGGAAACCACAGGTTATAAACAGAGCAGGTTTACAAATGTGACTATTAGTTCCCCGGTGGAAGCTTTAGCATCAGGGAGCTTTAGGTGGGCGTTGATTTCCACTGAGATGAAAAAAACTGGATTTATTGACACAAGAAGCAAACACAGGTTGAACCCTAGTCAGTGCCATCCATTCCTGCAGAGGATCCCAGGAGGCTGCTCGCAGGAGAAGCCCCTCATTAGGCTAATTTACACCAGGGAGAGCATGCAGAAAATCCCACTTCTCATGGAAATCCTAATGTGCTGTCTGGGACCATGATGCCACCTACACTAAGGACCTCTCCCATTAGATATATGGCAAAAAATAAGTCCAAAAAGGAAGAGTATTATCCTGCATCACACTTGGAGGGACAAGGGCCAGAGAGTATGATGCTGGGTCCCTCTGGTATGGATCCTGGGGTGGTTTCTGCTCACACAGATATCCTCTCTGGTCCATCAGCCTCCCGAATGGGTCAGCACATCCCGAGGCAAGCGGGCAACCCTACACCTCTGATGCTCACAACATCCCCTCCACCACACCACTGCCTCTTGGTAAGCGACAAGAGCATCCCCAAGAAGTACTTCCCACAAATCTCTGTCCAGGCACTCGCATATTCATCAAGCGGAAAGTTTTAGTCCGCAGAGACGATCCCGAACCCGCCGGTCGCCCGCACACGTCCCCCGTGCAGGCTTCACCACCCGCCTTACGCAACCGACACAGAACGAACCGCCAAGTGCAAATCTTCTCCCACAAGCTGTTTGCAAGTCATTTGCCAGCCAAGGATTATTTGCTGCAGAAATTTGCCAATAATTCAGCAGATCAAACAGGCAAGAGTTCCTTGCAAGGGAGGCGCAACCATGGCACCAAGGAACAGCAGCTCTGTCGGCACCACGCAGCAAAAGCAAGAGCTGAACAGCACAGAGGAGCCCAGTGACCTGGTCCAGCTGATCCCAGTGACCCCATCCTCCCCTAAACCAGTCCAGGATGAAAATCTGTGTGTTGCCTCCTCCACCCATCACAGCACAGATTTTGCCCTGAAAGGTCAGTGAGGCCACGCCAGCAGGCACCAGCACTGATGGAATGAAGCCAGCAGATAACCAGGGGTTTCTTGGGAAGGGTTTCCACTCCGCTGGAGGAAACATCAGGACGGCAAGGCAGGTGATGGTGGTGAAGCAGATGCTGGATGGAGGGCTCTACCCCAAAACCAGCAGTGCCAGGAGGACCCAGGTACCTCCTGTCAGGGCGGCTGACACGGAGCTCACAGCCCTTCATGGACAATTGATTCCCTGGCACGGGGCCCGGCCCGGCGCGGCACTGAAAGGAGCTGGCGAGGCTTTTGCGAGTAATTGCCGAGCGCTGACTCAGCACCGGCTCGGTTACAGTCAGCTCACCCCGAGCCGCGGGGAGGGCGGGGACGGGTCCACAGCAAACTCCCCCCTCCCAGCCCAGTGCTTCCCCTTGGCCCACGCCCCAAAGGATGCCCGGGCCGGGAGATGGCCAAAGGGCATTTCCCATCCACCCGCCCGCCTCCTGCGCGCTCAGCCCTGCACCTCAGCTGCGTGGTGAGAGCCCCTCTTGTTGCTACCAGGGGCGACACGTGTCCCGTGCTGTCCCCAGAGGCGTGACCAGCGATTTGAGCAACTTTTCCCAGCCCAGGAGCCACAGAGTCCTTCCCAGGAGTCACTCGGCAGGGGCAGGAGAGCAGCAGCTTCCTGTGCGACTGCACCGCCCGCAAGTAGCCGGTTTGCTGCCCCCACCAGAGGCATCACCCCACCACCAGCACACCCTGCCTTCTCAGGCAGACATGGTCCCACACCCCAGCGAGGCCATCCAGGTCCCGACTGGACAAAGGGAGTCAAAATGTCCCAGACCACGTTCTCCTCAAGACTCCTCTCAAGCACAGTCTCAACCTGCACCTCTCCACCATGGACAAGCAGCACCCATCACCACACCCCTGGCAGCACCAGGCTCAGCGTCCAAATTTCCTCCTCTGAACACCCAAAGGGGAGTCACATCCCATGTGGTGCCACCACCTTGCAAGCCAAGAGACAGGACTGTGCAGCAAACAGCTCTGTAGAGATTCCAGGCATCTCACCTGGCTCCCGTGCCTCAGTTTCCCCCACAACCCTGCCACTGGCTCTGCACCCAACAAAGCCCGCGAAGTGCTCAGAGACCCACACAAACCATCTGTTTGTACACATCAAACCAGCTCCTCTGAACGTGACGTTTCCATCAGCACGCAAAAAGAAATAGGCACAACCCCAGCACTGCTTCCCTGGAGCCCCTTGGTAGCTGCAGGCACCCACCTGCCCTGCACACAGCGAGGGGAGTCACCTCGGGAGGCTTCTGCTCGAGCCATTGCCACTGTCAGCTAACACAAGCCCAAATGCCCCTGCTCATTCCTGTCACCAACACAGCCCATCATGCTGCAAGCAGGACTCAAATCTGGGCCATGTCCCTGGCAGGTGACACCATCAGTGACACACGAGCAGCACCCGTGAAGCTCTGTGTGCTGCCACCCCCAGCATCACTGCTGCATGCTGGCATGCTGAGCAGGCATCACCTGGGAACGTGACCCCACCCAGACCTCATTCCCAAGCCCCCAGCACCAGGCCAACACTAGAAAGTGCTTCAAAAGGAAAAAGGACAAGAGATTTTCCTCCTCCCCACACAGTGTCTGAACAAAACCTCTCCCAGAACACATCCAGTTGCTTATCAGGCCATTCTCCTCATCTTCACCTCACCCTGTGCCCAGATGAGTCACAGACGTCAGGACACCAATTGAGGAAAGCGAGACATGGTGCCCTCAGAGCCAGCCATCCTAGCCTGATGGGGACCCTTGTCCCACCCTTAGCTGCCCACACAGCAAATCCAACACAGGAGCCTCCAGCACAAGGAACCGTCCTCCCCTTCCTCCCAGTTGGGATGAAGAACCACCACAAACAACAGCACACCAGGGCCTTGCCCCACATCCTGCAGCTCATGTCCCCACCAGGACGAGCCCCCATGCCCGGCTGCCCAACCAACCCCCCAGCCCCACCCCACTCACCCGCTGAGGACCACGATGAAGTCCATGACGTTCCAGCCGTTGCGCAGGTACGAGCCCTTGTGGAAAACGAACCCCAGAGCCACGATCTTAATCCCAGCCTCAAAGCAGAATATCCCAATGAAGTAAGGCTCCGTCTTCTCCTGCCGGAGGGAAGTCAGTGATGCAGTGAGAGGGGGGGACTGAGCAAACACAGCACCAGGTGTTTCACATTGGCCCAACTCATGTCCCATCCCACTTTCCCCAGCCCCACCCTCTCCTCTGGGAGCTTTTCCAGCCCTTCCTCAGCCACATCAACCTTGGGGAAAAAAGATGGTGGCTATAAGCCACCCACGGTTGCCCAGTCCTTCCCCACCCCGTTTTTGAAGGGCTTAAGCCTTCCTGAACCCTCTCCATAGAGGAGGAATATGTTGCAGCAGCCCCAGAAAGGCCAGAGGATCTGGTCTCAGAGGAAACCTCCTGCCCTACCACCCTGAAACCAAAAGCCTGGCAGGATTGAATATCTCCCCTTAGCTGATGCCTCTGCTCACCCACCAGCCCACCCAATGCAGGGATGGACACAGGGTACTTACTAATCTCCGTGACATGGGCGTCTTGTCATCCTCAGGGAGGTGCTGCTCGAGGGCCAGCACGATGCAGTTGGCAATGATGGTCGCCAGGATCATGTACTCAAAGGGAGTGGAGGGGAGTTAAGGAGCAGAGAAGAGGTGGATGACATTCCCAACCCGCCAGCCCTCCCTGCATTTCACCTGCTCGTTAGACACCACCACCACCACTCTCCCCAGCGGAACATGCACACACACACAGCCTGGCTTTCACCTCCTGCTGCTCCCAGGCAGGTGGTTGAAGCCCACCTTGGTGTTGTTTGGAAATGGGAGGGGTGACAAGAGAACTGAGAGCCCCCAAGACCTTCCTCGCCTCATCACCTCCCTCCTGAGCTCATGTGTCATTAACCAACAGCCTTTGCTGGGCTGGGAACTCCCCTGGGAGAGAGATGGTGTTTGTGGTGGTAGCCCAGAAGATGGGCACAAGTCTGAAGGGGGACAGCCAGGCTCTGATCAGGTTGGGCTTTGTCTGGAAGAGGGTTTCCATGGTCCCTGGCAGTGTTAGGGAGGCTCTCCCTGGTATGATACATTGCTGGCCAGGGCTGCTTTCCTTCTCTTTTCATCACAAAGCAACGGGAGATGGGGGTCAGGGCTTGGAGAGGGAAGGTGTCACAGGCTATCAGCAGCCCTGGTCCTAAAGCATCCCCATGAGAGGGACCATCTGCACTGCCTGGGTAGGATGAGGCAACCCTTGCAGGTCCTGGGAATCTGACCTGGATCCATCCTCCCTGTGCTGGCAAGGTGGACATGCCCTTGCCAAGCACCCTTGGGCAGCAGGATGAGCCCAGGGGGCACTGGGAGCTGCAGAGCACGTGGCTGAGCTTTCACAGCTCAAGACACTGACGGCAGCTGAGGCTGAGCTTTGGTTCAGGCAAGGTGGAAACTCCCTGTGGAAACATCCCAGCTCAGCCACAGCTCAGCAAGACTCCAAGGGGTAGCAGCACCTTGTCAACAGGGCCTGGTTGGACACTTAAAAGCTTCCTAAATCCTACAGACATGTCTAGGTCTTACACACCCTTCTCCAGGAGCAACCCTGAGCCTGGACAAGAGGCAGCAGGTGCTGGCTTCTGAGGACCTGAGTGGGAGGGGAAGGAAAGGGCACGATGACACCCAGGAAAGCACCCCAAACTCAGCTCCCTCCTGCCTTTTGATTCATGGGATCAAGGCAGGGACAGGGAGCTCCCTCCTCCTGCCTGGCCCAGTGCCGAGCCCTGAAAACAAAGCACTTCCAAGTGACAGGACGGCCATATCTTTCCAACTTCCCATCCATCTTTCCCACATCTTCACAATAAAAGCCCTGTTGTCCTCAATAACAAAACGTGGAGCGATTCATCAGCAGGCAGCACACCCCTGCTCCACTCCCTCCATGCCAAAAACCCACAGCTCAATTACTGTCACCACTGGCATCAGCAGCCACCCCGGGAGGGGACTGCCACCTTCCTAGAGCTCGTCTCTGTGGAAAGAGGATGTGATCCCACCAGGGATGGATTTGCCTGTAAAGAAATCATCCACACTCCCACCATCCCAAGCCAGCACAGAGAACAGCCCCCTGGCTGAGCCTTTCCCCATCACACCAGGCTTCTCCAGACCCAATACTTTCAGGTTCACAGCTCTCAGACCAGGAGGTCCCCAATGCCCGTGACATCAACCCCGGGAAAAGGGGTGATTTTGTCTTTTGCAACATTGCCTTTTGGCCACTAACTACAGTGTAATGCTTTAAACCAGTGGCCCTGAGCCCATGGACAAGAGAAGATATTCCAGTGCTGGCCACAAGCATGGAAAACAGGGAACCATGAAGTGACCCTGGCAGGAGTGATGCTGCAGCAGCTAGCAAGGTGGGAGCAGGGATGGGCATCAGCAGGTCCCCAGAGAGCTGACCAGGAGGCACAGCCAAGGAGAGCCTGCAGGAGCTGGGAGGTATTTAGCCCAGCAGGAAGAAGAGCCAGGAAAGATCCAGCCAAGGCATTTAAAAGGCCACTCAGTGAAATTAATGGTCGCTAAGTTAGAGGCAAACCCAAAGAGAGATGCTGCAGAGCTCACTGCTGCCGGCTCGCACCACGCTGCCAGCCAGGCACGAAGCCTGAGCGGCTCCCTGTGCCTGGGGAGCGGGAGGCCAAACCCCAAAAGTTTTCCTCTGAGGATTAACACAAGTGGGGATTTCACAGCATGGCTCCTGCGAAAGCCACGTCCCCTCCCTGCCTCCCACCCCGGCCGCACGCTCCAGCCGACGGGCAGACCGCGGCGCTTGGCCCCGAGCCACCAGCCTGTTTGGGATCTTTTTGTATCATTTTCCTGAAAGTCTGCGAGCAATTAGCACCGGCTTAAAAGGAAAACAGCGCGTTAGTGGGGCGGCGCAGCCAGCTCCCCAGGCACCAGGCACATTTGCCTAGATGAGAAGTGTGGGAACTGCTTGGCGAGTCCGTCTGTCCGCCCCGGCACGGCAAGCATCCTGCACTCCTCCCCACCACAGCCACTGCTCCCATGGGGGAAACACCCAGGTGGGAAAAACCCAACTTCTCCAAAAGCAGCAGTGCCTGGGGGGCTCAGGACCACCTCTAGTGGCTCAGCTCGCCCCTATGTTTCCTTGAGGGCCCCAACACCTGGTTCAAGCGCACAGAGACAGTGCACACCTACCCCAGCACAGAATCACACCCCTGCTCCATCCTCCAGCAAGTGCATGGCATGTGGGTGAGGAGATATCACAGAATCAAGGAATGTTTGGGATTGGAAGAATCTTAAAGACCATCTCATTCCAATCCCCCTGCTGTGGGCAGGGACACCTCTCACTAGACCACATTGCTCAGAGCCCCATCCAACCTGGTCGAGTCTGAAAGGGCAATTGCTTCCCTAAGCACTGACTTAAGCATGAGGTCACTGCCAAAAGTGACTCTCCAAACCCCCATGGCCCACTTTTCCAAGGAGCTGAGCCTGGGCTATCACATCCAGAGCTGTGTGAAGAGCTGCAAGACATCAACCCCGTGAAAATAAGCTCCCATAGCTCCAGCTGTGCCAGGTTTTGAGAGGCCAAGGGTAAGAAAAACCTCCCAAGGGACAGCAGGAACATCTGGCTGAACCAAGGGATATTTTATCCCCACACTTCATGTCTGTCAAACAAGCATACTCCCAGCTCAGGGCTGGAGCCCACCAGACAATGCTCTGTCACTGCTTTGTTTTCTCTCACATTAGATGTCTAATTACACAACCTTCCAGCCATCCAAAATGCAGAGTAGCCCTAGCCTCCCTCCAAGCCTGGTAACGAAAGCCCATCTCTCTCCAGCCTTCTCCTACTCCTCCTTCGTCTGGTTTCTCCTGGAAGATCATTAGGGAGCCGATAAAAATAGGTTTTCTTATTGATTTATCTCCTTTACCCAATGCTCTCTCCCCTGAACCGTTGACTTGTTTCCTTAGCAACTCGGCCGATCCCTGTGCACGCCACACCTGCAGCTCCATGCTTCCCATCCAGAGCCTTTGAGGTGGGAACAGTGACCCCAGGCCATACAGGCATCTCCCCGAGCCATGACCCAGACCACCCGGAGCAGGCACTAAGCCCAAGCCTGGAGTTTGAGCACCCTGGTGGGTCTGTAAGGGAGATGTTCGGCCACCAGCAGATCCTTTCTTCCAGCTGCGACCTTCCCCTTCACCTTCCTCCCCAGACAGAAGCCCAAACTGGCCTGCCCAGGACATCTGTATTGCTAAGGCAGGGAGTGTTCCCAGCTCCCATCCCCAAAGATAGATTTATGGAGCTGATGGTACATTGATGCAATCTCCACAAGAGGCTGGGTATGAGACAAATCCCTCCCCGGATGTGGGCAAGGGATGGGAGCTATGGAGAGCTCCACTCCATCCCTCCATTTCTCAGTGCCTTCTCCCACTCCTGGGCAGGCAAGTGTGGAAGCAGCAGAAGATCCAGAGGAGTGAGGTCACGGGGGCCTTGGGGAATCCTACTTCCAAGTGCCAGCAAGAAGAGCAGGAGCAATTTAACCCCTTAATCTGCATCATCCAGCTCAGTTCCAACACCTCGTAGAAACTCATGTCTCCATTTCCCCACCTCTCCCCAGGCTTTCCCAAGGACCTGCTGCTCTGAGGGGCTTTCCCTGCTTCCCAGATGTCAGTGAGAATGAGCTTCAGTTTCTACACACATGAACTTCATCTTCCTGGTCCCAACCCCAGCACTGCTGCCCGTCCCACACAGACATGGTGAGACAGGAAGAAAAACCCATCTCTTCAACACCCCCCTCCCTAGGACCCCAAAGCCCCTCCTCTCAGCTCCATACCCCAGCAGGAAAGAGAGCACCTCCTCTCCAAGGCTGTTTTCACAGAATCACAGAACGGTTTGGATTGGAAGGGACATTAAAGATCATCTCATTCAAATCCCCTGTCGTGGGCAGGGACATCTACCAGACCAGGTTGCTCAGAGCCCCATCCAACCTGGTCTTGAACACTTCCAGGGATGGGGAGTCCACAACCTCTCTGGGAAAGAGAGGTTTTTTTGTTTCCAGGAAAAAACAGAAGTGCCAAGTAGAGCAAAGCCTCTGAGTAGTCCTAATTCAACTGTGGGATTCCCCAGCCCCACAACACTTCCCTGGCTTGTCCCTGAGGACAAAAGGGATCTTCCCCCACCTACAAGACTATCCAGTGCCCTCAAGCAGCCATAGAGCTGTGAACCCTCATGGCTGTCCCTATCCCTGCATCCCACCACCCATAACTCCCAGCCCACCTGTGCTGTGCTCGGGGTTGACAGAAACCAGACCCCAAATCCTCCCACTACCCTTTAAACACGACCCAGCTCCTATGTGCCTGTTACACGCAGGGTCAGGAGAGCGAGCATAGGCTTGAGGTTGTGCTTGTGTCCCTGCACAGCTGGCAGGGAGCACCCAGCCTGCCTAAATCCCACTGCACAGACATGCTCACTCTCTGCAGTCACAGACATTGCTGCTTATGACTCCAAAATGTGCTGGTTTGGTTTCCATCAGGGGTTAAACAGAAGGCAGTGACAGCCAGGAGTCCAACGGGGCAGAGCTGCCCACACTGCTACTGCTCCTGTAAGGATTCAGGATGTGGGATGCGGGGTCTGCCTGACACGTGCAAACAGTTCCATGGAGAAGCGTCTCCTTCTCCCCCACCTCACCCTGGAAATCAAATCTCTCTCCTCTCCTCCTCCTTTTCTTTTTTTTTTTTTTTTTTTAAACAAAAAAGAACCGCATCATGTGATTTTCCTGCCTTAACATCAGTTTTTTAACTTTGGTTGCCACAGCAACAGGATGCAACTTGGCGTCACCATGACAACAGCTGCCTCTGTTTAAATTCACCATCTGACAGGCAGCCTCGCTCTCCCCGGCTGTCAAAAAGATGGACCTGCCATTACACCTACTCGCCCCTCCCAAAAAAAAAAAAAAAATCTAAAATCTGATGAATGAAGGGCACAGAAAACAGCCTGGGAGAGGAAAAAAAAAATAAATAAATAAAAAATACGTTCTTGGGGAGCGCAAGGAGTGGAGCTGCCCAAGGATGGCACGACATGGCGCAGCTCTTCCCTAGGGAAAGCAAGACCTGCCGGAATCTTGGCTGGGGAAAAGCAAAGGTACAGAAGATGCTTGGCCAGGTGACACTGCCAGGGTCCCTGAGGGGCACTGCCCACACAGTGTCAGGTCTAAGCGAGACTCATCACGAGCAAAACAATTCAGGCACACATGGGTGTGCTTCCCACGGAACAAAATCCCCATGACTGTTGGATTGGGAACGCACCCTGGGGCCCTGCAGGCACTCGGGCTGCTCTTGGTCAGCCCAACACCAGATTTGGTCCTCCAAGGGGCCGAGATAGGAGAAACCTCTCACCACAGGGAACTAGATCCTGATGGACATCCCTCTTCCCTGCCAAACTCGGGGACAGGTGGAGTGGCCAGAAAGATGCTGTCCTTGGGGACGCAGCCAGAGCCACACAATGTCATCTGGCCTTTCTGAGGCGGGAGAGGGATCTTATCCAGGTCAAATGTGATTAGGTAGATGAGGAACAGAGCAGATATGGATGAGCTGCAGCCCATCTCATGTGCTAACTGAATTGCAGCTTTCCAGGCAGCCAAACAAATGAAATCAGGGCGAAAGGCCTGGCCATCAGCAGGAGGAGAGCAGGCAGGACGAGGCTGTGTTTCTCAGGGAGAAGAGGAGGAGATGTTCCTACAGCCAAAACAGCAGCTGCCTCACATTCTGGGCAGGACGGGCTAAAAGAGCAGCTCCAGTGGAGGTAACGCACTGGGCTTCCAAGCAAGGAAGTCAGCAAAGACCTGCCTCCCCATGGAGCTGCATCCCAATCCCAGTTGCTCCTGTTTCTCCTCCTTCCCCTCCATGCATCATCCCTATTTACACTGGGAAGCCAAACTGCAGAGGCTGCTGGTTATAATTACACAGTTACCCAGCAGATATCCAGGCCTGAATCACCAGATATTTTTAGCCCTATTACCTAGTCAACTGGAGCTGGATGAAGAAGAGCCTTCACTCCTCCCTGCGCTCCACTCCAGCCCCCTTGGCTGTCCTCGGTGCTGTGCCCACTCCAACCCATGGCACAGGGACTGGCCCATCACCCTCCCAAAGCCTGCAGCTCTCATTGACCATGGCCAAGATCCAATGCTCACCTCCCCAGAATGCCCTCATCCAGGAGCAATGCCATGGGCTGCAGGCCAGGCAGCTGAGGTTTTCCTGGCCCTACCAAAAGGCATCGGCTGCCTGTGCCAGGCTACAGCTACAAAGACAGGAACAACTTGCCAGGCCAAGCTAACCAAAACTCATCACTAAGAGGCCTTGCCCATTCCCAAGCCCTCAAAACTCCAGTGGTGCAGAGGAACTCCAGGGTGGATGAGTTTCTAGGAAAGAGATGGCAGCCAGGAGGAGGACAGGCAGGAACGCTCAGCTCTCGCACCTGGAGCACGCCCGTTCCCAGCACTCACACGGGAATATGTCACTTACTTCTGGAAAAAAAAAATATAAAATGAGCCCATCTCCCTCATGCATTGCAAATTCCAGGGGAGAATAATGCCGGGGAGTTTTTATCGCGTGGTCGTGGAGCTCCAGTCTCTAGGAGACAGCGGCTGCCTGGAGATGAGACATCACGCCGGCACGGGACCCCAGCCCACGCCGGGAGTGCCAGGCCAGCAGCAGCACCCCAGCTCCTTCTCGCCTTAAAGGAGAGCCGAAGGGGCGAGGGCCCTCCCACACCCCGCTGAAAAAGCACATGAATAATTTGGCACATTCTGGAAAAGCAGGCAGCCAGCCGGGCCGCTGCCCTGCAGGGCTCCGCGCTGAGCCGCTGCGTCCCCGTCCTCGCCACCGCACCAACGCTCCTGCAGCCACCCACCCGGTGGGCGCTGCCAGGAGGGGCAGATTTAGGGATGCCACAGGGAATTCAGGGCCCCTCTAAGCTGGCCCTGCACGCCCAGGTCACGCCCTCAAGCCTGGACACATTGCAGTTCCCCAACCAGGACGAGTTCCTGCTTTGCAGAGGTTTGACCTGACATGTCGGAGCTGCAAAGGGACATTTCCCAAGCGACGCTCAGCAGGGTGGGTGACCTGTCCTGCATCCCTGTGCCTTACCAGAGGCCTTTCCCCGAGGTACCTGTTGCACCAAACCAAAGCACTGCTGCCTGGCACCAGGGAAAGCCCTCCCATGCCCGCTGGAGGAGCCGGTAACTCAACCAACAAGTTGCGGGGAGAGAAAGCGGGAGAGGCGAGAGCTGCATGGAATGACTGCTGCAGAACATGGCACAGGGAGGGTCCTACAGCCAAAGCTTGGCCACACTGAAGTTTTCAGGCTCAGGTCCTCCAAGGGGACGAAGCCCAGGAGGGGTCTCAGGGGGCAGCAGGGCACTGAGCCCAGGCTGATGAGGGGATGAGTGCTGCGGTGCTGGGCACCGGCCAAGGCGCCCGGGGGCACCCACAGGGAGGGTGGGAGGAGAGAGAAGTGCGTGGGGATGTATGAAAGGATGGAGGAGCCGGGGAAGCAGGGGGGATATCTGCACCCGCCACCCAGCCCTACGAGGGGGGGGATCCCTGGGATAAAATCACAGATCCCCGTGCCAGCTTCTCCAAAAGGGCCACGGGGCACAGACAGAGGTTTTCAGCATCCTTCCCTCTGCCGCAGGGAGGGGGCAGCCAGTTCCCAGAGCTGCCGTGGGGGGCCGGGGGCTGCAGGGCGAGGATGGCTGTGCCCCTGCCAGGAGTGATCTGCAGCAAAGAGAGCACACACAGGAGCGACAGGGCCGCCACCCAGCAGCAACTGGAGATTCATGGGCTCCCAGGGAGCTGTCCCCAACGGGATGGGTGGCTCCACGTGGGGTGGAGTGACAAAACTCCAGCAAGGCATCAAGGCACACAGGAAAGGCCACGACACCACCACCACCACCCCCTCCCCAGGCACACGCACAGAGCATCCCAAAGCACGCAGGGTTAAACCGGGATCAGAGCACCCCTGCTCACCAGCACGGGGGGCTAACAAATCCAAGCCTGAGGAGGGGCTGGGGGGCTCCCTGCAGGGAGAAAGAGCTCAGCTCCCGTCAGGCACAGAGCAGAGGACAGAAGGGGAAGCAGCAACAGGGCGAGGAGAGCATCCCCGGGGGACGGGGCACCCCTCTCCGCACGCCTTACCTGCTGTTAGTGCCACACACACGTGTCCTGGGCGGCCACCGAGGCAAATCCAGGGAGCAAGGGGGGGCTCGCAGGGGGAGCAGAAAGGATATGGCCAGTCAATGAGCTTCTTGGCATATTTCCTGACTATGTTCTCTTCCCCAAAGAGGAAGAGCGATCTGTTGACGGTGAAGCAGTTCTGCCGGACGGGGATGGGGTTGTACAGAGCCATAGTCCGGGCTCTCTGCGCTTTGGTTTGCTTGAAGGCTCCCGGGCTCCCTCCTGCAGGGGCAGGAGCTCCTTGCCGGCTCCGGTTCTGGTCGGAGCCCCCATCTCCAGAGCCCAGCCTGCCAGCCACTGCCTCCCCAAAGCGAGCCATCCTGGAAGAAAACACACAGGTGAGCCAAAGCAGCAGCACCGAGGCGGCGGGGGGGTGGGAGAGAAGAGGGAGGGGGTTGCGGGGCGCAGTCCCAACCACAGCCCCCTCCTCCTCTCCGGGTGATGCTCAGCTCCGTCTCTCCTCCATCCCTCCAGGAGAGTAGGGACTCGCGTGGAGGAGAAGCGGCAAGGCACGGCACCGGCTCAGTGCCTCCGGCACGGCATGAGGGGCACCCCGCTGCTTCCAGCCCCCCCCAGAACGGCCACTCGGGCAGCAGGGAGGGCAGCGAGCCCTCCTTCCTGCTCGCCAGAGGCCGCAGCGGCTCAGTCCCTAAGCACCTTTCACCACGAAGCAATGGGTTAAACCCAGCCACATCCTTCCCACCGCTCTGCCTGCAAGCCCAAACCAGCCCCTTTTAACCCCCCCCCCCACCCCCCGCTTCAAAGCAAGCAGAGATCAGGCAGGGAAAGGGCTGAGATCCAAGTCCTTCTATCCACCCGATCGCAAAGGAAGACAATTCGGTACAGCACCCAGCGCAGCAGCCGAGGCCGGGGGAACAGGTTGCAGCGTGGTCCGGCTCAGTTGGAGCCAAGTGTCCAACTCCTTCCTCCCGACTCCATCTTCAGCATCCTGTGGGAGCCCGACCACCCATCTGCTGGCTCCCCGGGGCAGCGGGCAGGGATGGAGGGCAGAGCCCCCAGGCAGGCACCAGGGATGCTCAGCCCTTCGCTGCCAGGGCAGGAGCGCGTAAGGCGGCGTCGGCTTCCCGCAGGAGCCGGGCTACGAAATTAAAGGCTGCCGCGCCTCTGCAGCTCGGGGACAGCTCGCTTTAATGAAGTCAGTGGCAACACAGGCGCACACAAGCGCACACACACGCACAACACGCCCGGCTCGCTCCCTCGCTCCATCCAGTGCGTTCTTTTGGCAAGCACGGGAGCTGCCGCAAAGGAAAATCAGAGTCGAGGGGTGGGTCTGAAGGGAACAAAGGCAATGGGGGAGCCCTCACCCTGCCAGAAGCACCCCTCCCGCCCCGGCTGCAGTGGGCTTTCCAGCACACGGGTGCTCCTAGGTGAGTGGCTAAATTGGGGGGCAAAGGAGGCTCCCCTGCCTGCAGCCTCCCCACCGCATCTCAGCCCGCACCGAGAATCTCTCCAGCCACATTCACTGTCGTCGTCCCCCCCCCACCCCGATCCCTGGGACACTTCGAGGCTCCCGGCTCCCCGCCGGAGCCGCCCCGTCGCCAGCGGGTGCCCGGGGAGAGCCCTCCTGCTCACTCGCATACAGATCAGCCTTCTTTACATCCCTCCCCCCCACCTCGGTATTTTCTGTTTGACACATGATGTTGGCCAGAAGCAGCAGCAGCTCATCGGAGAGGTGTAAACAGCCCGGGCTGGATCTGTCCCTGCAGCAGCTGCCACGGGGAGGGGGGGGCTCTGACCCTGCTCCCCACCCAGCCAACCCATTATGGGCAGAGGACTGGGGACGCTGCTGGTGCTGCACCTCTGCATGTGCCAAGGTCACCCAGGGGTGCCCAGGGTCCCCTGGGCTGGGCTGTGCCCTGGTGCAGGGAGTACCTTGCCCACTCACCTTTGGGGAACCCCCCTGCCCTCCTGGCACCCACAGGGTACACCCACAGATCCACCCACAGATCCACAGGGACATCCCCAAGTCCTCTGTACCCACCAGGCAGGGCACAGCCTCGCTGCTCAGCACACCCTGGGAGCTGTTCACACACAGGATCCCCCACCCCTCCCACTGAACCCCGAGGTCAAAGAGCTCCCCAGGGCCTTCCACACTTGCTGCCTGCCTTTGCCTCAAGCAGAGCACCCAGAGCTCCAGCTGGTGTCACAAGACACCCTGTGTCCCCACAATGCTCTTCCCCTGTCCACAACACCACCACCAAAGTGCTCTGCAAACACAGTGGCTGCTGCCCTATCCCTCACACCTGCTGTGGGGCAGCCAGGAACACCTGAGGCATTTAAATTTAAAAAAAAAAATCAAGCCCTTAATAACATAAATTGTTAACTCATTTGGGCAAGGGCTTCTCCCTCGGTGCAGCCTGGCAGCACTTCACCAGGCACTTCTCCACCCTGCAGGCACTACTGTGACCAAAGGGCCACAGGGTGTGCTTTTTGTCCCAGGCTCTCATGGGTGCATTGCCAGGAGGCCTTGGGCTGACTGGGTGAGGAAGGATCAGGTCCTCCTCAGCAAGATAACAGAGGAATGTTTGCAAAACAGACTGTGGGATCATTGCCCCAGCCAGGCACCAAGACCCCACTAGCTCACCACAATGCCTATCTGCTGCATCCCTATTGACTCTGTGCCTCCAATTAGCCTTATAACCAAAATGGGTGTCATTTTGGGGGGTTTCAGCAAGTCCCCAGCTACATCACCACTACGCTGCAGCACAGAGTAGAGCAGGGGTGGGCAGATTCCTCCCAAAACACTTCCCAGGCCACTAGCCAGCCAGAGCGACCCTGGGCTTCCCTTCCACTAACAGCAGGCAGTGAGGTGGCCACACCAGTTACCAGCTAATTACAGTCCCTTCGGTTCAGTCAAGATACTGCCCTAAACAAATCAATTATAATTTGTGGCTCATCCCCTTTTCCTCCTCCTCCCCACCACCAACGCAGCATCAGGAGTGATGCCACTCTTCCCACCTTTCAACGCTGTAAGTCACTGTTAATTAAACCTGAGCCTGGGCCGATAGCCAGGAGCAGATCCTCAGCCTTGCAGAGCTCCTGCTTTGGCTCCTCCCGGCCCCCCAAGGCTTCTCCAACCCTCTAAACCTGCAACTGCAAGACCCCACCCAGCCTAAATGCTCAGGCTGTGTGTGGTACCCAGAGGCTGAGGAGAATGGACCCAGCACTGCCTCTGCATCCCCCTGCCTGGCTCAGAGCAAGGGGCTGAGGGGGAGGAAGGCAGCCTTCCTCCTCCTGGCCCCTCAAAGCAGGAATACACACCTTACCTGGACACTTCTGCTGGGGCAGTGGGCTATTCCCTCAACCTGGGGTTCACCCTTACCTCTGCATTTGCTGCTGCAGAGCAGAGCAGAGCAGAGCACAGGATGGCCCTGATGGGAGCCTCTCTCCTGCTCAGACAGTGCTAAAGGATGGGATATTTATGAGAAAGCAGCTCCTTAAGAGAAGATTGAAAGCCAAAAGGAAAAAAAAAAAAGTCTCCAGCTATGCCAAGAGATGCAAGCTCGGTTTCCCAGGATGTTTATTGCTGTTCTCATCTTGACCCTCACCCAGCACACTGGGATCCAATCCGTGAGTCAGGAAGAAGGGTGGCTGATGCCCGCATGATTCAACACGGCACAGGGATCCAGAGCCAGATATAGGGGGCTGTTTGGGTTTTTGTGAATGAAGGAAATCCAAGAAGAGAGGGGAACAGGCGGTGCCAGGACAGGAAGGCGCTTGAGATGCGCTTGGTTTTGCCGAGACAGGCTAACACTCCTCCGGTCTGGAGCACAAGGCTGATGAGGGGGCTGGGGGTGTTCAGGTTGGAGAAAAGGAGGCTCAGGAGGGACCTTCCTGCTCTCTACATCTACCTGAAAGGAGGCTGTAGCCAGGTGGGGGTTGGTCTCTTCTCTCAGGCAACAAGCGGGCAGGACAAGAAGAAACGGCTTCAAGTTGCACCAAGGCAGGTTCAGATGGGATATTGGAGAAAAAATATCTTCACCAAAAGGGTTGTCAAGCCCCAGAAGAAGCTGCCAGGGAAGTGGTGGAGTCACCATCCATGGAGGGATTTGTAAGACATATAGATATGGCACCTGGGGACATGGCTGAGTGGTGGGCTCGTCAGTGCTGGGTTAACAGTTGGACTTAATGAGCTTAGAGGTTTTTTTCCAACCTAAATGATTCCATGGTTCTATGATTCTCACGTTGATATCGCCATCCAAGCCTTCTCCTTGCTTTTCCCCCACCACTCCCAGCCATGCCACCACCCCTGCAGGGCAGGGCATCACCAGAGACACGGGGCTGCCCCTTCCCGGGTGAGCCCGAGACCCCCCATCA